GCCAACCAGCTCAACTCCACCAAGGCCCAAGAGCTGACAGACTCCTAATCAAGGACCTGGGTGCACACATAGTCCCATGAGACAAGCAGCTAAAGCATCTCTTCGTACCCCACAATGTGCTGATACACTAGGAAGCTCCACATGGGGTGAGCACCAGCTGGCAACTCCTTGTTTCAGCTCTTTGCTATGAGAAGTCTGAGCTCTCAAGGGCAAGTCACACACAAAGCCTCCAGCATAAAGCTCTCCTGTACACCTTGGGTGCCTGCCAGCTGAGATGGAGACTGAATGTGTCAAGCACAACCCCCAATGTCCATCTCTCAGAAGCCCTAACCAAGAGCGATAGGTTTCTCCTTCACCAGGAATGCCAGTGTTTGTTTAGAGTGGACAAGTGCCACAATAAGCAAAATGCTTTATGCCACTTAGACAAATCAGGAGAGACTAAACTTTTATCTTCAGGATCAATTGGATTTAGCTGGGAAACTCAATTTCTGATCTCTGCACATTTGACAGAAGGCAAGGAGTCATAAGGATAATTTATACTGATAAATTAATGATAGCAAGGTCTAATTTCATTTGTGCAGTCATTTCCTTATTTCTTTTATTTGTGTTTTTCCTGAAGTACTTGTATGAAGCATGCAATCGCATTCTGTTGGAGCGGTTAACACAGGATGAAGAGAAATACATACTTGTCATGTCATTTCAGGCCCTACACCACAGAATCGCAAACTAAATTATTTTTGGCTACTAAAATCAAAACAGGGCAGGTGCTATAAAAAGCAAAAGACCAGAAATCTGAATTCCTATAAGCCATTTTTAATGCAGATAACTGTCCATGCATCCCTTGTACAGTCCAGGATTAGCTCTCTTCTGTTACAAAGCATGGTACAATATGGATCTGCAGCTATAGATCACAGTTCCACTAAAAAGCTAAGGGTGAAGGTTTTTTGAGACAAAATTTTGGGGTCATTTTGTGAAGACTTGTTATCCTCCAGTTGTTCCTCTGTCAGAGTTCAGTGTTTTACTTGTGTAAGCAACACCTTCACTGAAGGTAAATAGAGTATTGAATCTGCCATATTAGCTAGCTCAGCTTGCCTAGGCCAGTGTCTTTTCCATATCTGTCACTGACACCACACCAATCTCTTTAAAGCTTTTAAAATCTTTTGCAGACATACACAAAACCAAATTCCTATAAAAGAACATTCTTCAGAATATTGTCATATTCATTGGCTTTTGTGCTGAAGCATGAGGACTTAAATTCTTTATAATTTCTTAATCCTATCAAATATACTTGTGCATTTTCTAATTATCTGTGTAGAGCCTAAGCCTTACCAAAAAAAAAAAAAAAAAAAAAAAAAAAGAGAAATAAAAAAAACCTCCTAAGATTCTAGGTACTCAATACATTAACTCTGAGTTCACAAAGTTCTTGCTGGTTTTAAGCCTTGACGCTGCTTCCTATGGAGCTGAAATAAAGTCCCTCTTGCTCTCTTTGCATCACCGTTTCCCCTTTCCAATTATGATTTTTTTTTTTTTAACAGCTCAAAGTCTCTGCTCTTTTCCACATCTTTAATTAGCTTTTGCTTCCCTGTGAATACCTAAGCATGTGTCATATATATCTTCACAAAACAGTCACCAGAAAGGAAAAGGAAACCATGGCATTCCTAACACATTCCCACTCATCTCTCTCCAGCGACACTTTGGCCCTTTCTTCCATAAACCCCAACACAGCTGTGAAATTCCTTATTTTCCCACAAGCACACCTTTGCCAGCCTCAGGAGGGAGTTTCAGCTGCCATTACAGTGCCCACTGACCTACTCCTGTTGGAGTCACTGAGTTACTGCCTTCCCTAGCCTGGATGGGGGTCACCCACACGTAATTGTTCTTCTCAAATCCAGATTAGGGATGGGAACATTAAACACTATTTCTAGGATAGAACTTGTACATTTTTCCTGTTCTAACCATTTGTGATCACCTATCTTTATAGAGCTTTTGAACTACAACAGCTTCCCCAGTCCACTCTCTCCAGAACTGCTTAGATATTCTGCTGCCTTCTGCAAGCATTTACCAGAGCATTACTTTTCCACATGGTAACCCATTGACCTATAATAGTTTTTTCTGAACATTTTGAAAAAAAAAAGTATACCTTAGAGGAAGCGTTTCCATCTCTGGTGAAGATCACATTGTCTTATAACCCCAGGTTTAATTGGGTATTGCTTTGGGAAATCATGTTGCAGCTTCAGCAAAAGCCACAAGCTGTCTCATAGGATCTCAAAGGTATTGTAACTGTCCTATATTAATGAAATTGCACTTGCAGTGTTGCAGCAAAACATCTCATACATCTCATTCCAGTCCTTTGAAGAGATAATAAACAAACTGATTATAAGCTACTCCTGCTTTTTTTTAGATTTAGTAGTACTAAATCTTGCTGTCTCTGAAAGACATGAAAAGCCAAACCAATGTAACCTACAAACGGACTTTACATTTTGTCTACACTGTGCACTTCACAGCTGCACGAGCTACTGGTACATGAGCTAGGTCATTCTGAAGTCACACAGAAGGTTTTTCTGTGCTACAGTGCACTGAGCAGTGCAGACAAGCCCATAAGTGGCACATCTCACAAATGCAAAGCAGGGCAGAAGGTCTGACGTTCTGGGTTAGCCCCACGTGTTACTGACATGCTCAGCGCAGTTTTTATACTACAATGGTTTCCTTCATCAAAAAAATCTTGCAAAATATGATTGAATTCAAGATTCAACAAGGATGCAGAACCCATCCTAGGAACCTACACCATTTTATAAGGAAATGATACCACAAAAAAAGGAATTATTCAGCGTTGAATTGGATCTAGTTTGAGATTGCCCTTGCTCTACAATTCACAGGCTAAACACATGCACTAAAAATTCCTCCAAAGTATTTCAAAATCCAGTACACAACTTTTCAACAAGGCTTTCACCCCATGATACAGCTGAGAAAAAAGGCAATATTATTTGCTCTAGTACAAATTTCCTTAATGCAAATCACCCAGGATTTACTACTTGAAGTGGAAATGAAGGTTCCTTCACATGTCTGAGGTGCAAGAAATTACCATGTGCTGTTTGTGAGCAGCAGAATTCTTATGACTCATTTCTTTGTCCTTTGAGACATTTAAATGGAAACAAAATTTTAAGGATGTACAGATAACCCTTTTAACAAGGTGAATGCTTTATTACACTACCATGAATATTTACAGTGCTGTTACTGGTTTTAGAGGAAGCTTTATCTTATATGTCACTTGGATCATGACAGTACCCCATTTTCAGTTTGGAGTATTTGTTGTAGTTCAGTTAAACATGTGCACACATATGCATGTCACACACCTTAGTATTCTACCCCAATACACTACTGAAGAACACTAACCCATTAAACTGCACTTTTAAGAATAAACTTCAAGGAGATTAAAAACCAAAAAAGGTTTTTTCTGAACCGAAGAGCAGAAAGCAGAATCATGGTCAGAGTTTTCATTTACTACCTCCACAAGAATCAATTAAAATCACTGGGCTGGCGTACACTATCGGATAAAATAACAAGAAAATAATGGATGGAGAGCCTTGCTACAGCATCAAGTGTTGCTTTGAAGAAGAGCCTCAGAGTTTACAGTGCTGATTCCTCTCTGTTTGATCTACCACATACTAGCTTGCACAAAAGTATTCGCTTACCCCTGACAACACACTCTTCTGTTTGCATTATCTTTGCTGGACTGTCATAATGCAGTCTCCGCTTTGGAACCTCTGAGAGCACAGAGCACAAATTCAGACTCAATTTATCTTACAGCAGTGGAGACAGGTCTACTATCCAGAGATGGAATAAGAGACACCAGACTGGAATAAAAACAGCACTTGGTATTAAAATCCATGTATATGTATGTTTGTACATACATGTACATTTTCAGGGCAACTGATTTGCATAATGCTCTTCTGTGACCCCTAAAAATTGACTTACACCTTGTGGGCTGTGCACTCAGCCACAATCCAGCTATGAACATTCAAGAGAAACAATGGCATTGTCAACAATTACAAACAAACTAAACTAATTCAAATAAACCCTGCTAATCCCAGAGGAAATACCATGGCTAAATGGTACCACTTCTACTTCTGTTAAATTAGAAAAATAAAAACACTATCTGCCTCTTAAGCCTTACAGTCAAAAACAAAGAGACCTGCACTACCAAAGAGCCATAATCACTGAATACAGAAATCACTAAGCAAAAAGGAAATAAGAAGCCGCCTATCCCAATACTACCTTCCGTTTTCCTTCCCTTAGTGAATTAACAACATGAAGCAGAGCATATATTCTGTGACCCTCCTGCCTGTCCCTGACAGCAGTTCCAGCAGCTTAACAGAACTAACCTGAGTTAGAGCTGGTTTCCAATCCACTCTTTGGATTGGATGTAGCCTACAAAATAATTATTTTTTAAGAAATTCTTGAATTTTAAGTCCCATACAATTTGTTGTCCTTCATACTGTGTGGTAGCAAGCTCTGCAATTTAATTGAGCTTTCCATGAAAAAGGACTTATTTTAAAACATCTGTTTTTGTCAGACACTCCCTAGATCCCATATTACAACAAGCAGATAATTCTCACTCCATACTATTCTTTCTCTCCCATCCTCATTTTTGCATTCTACTATTATCATATCTTTTTGTGCAGCAATCCTAATCTATTGTGTTTCTTCTCCTCTACAGGCAGCTCCAAACCTTTAACCATCCTTCTTCTCCTTCTTCTAGATTTTATCAGTTTTACTGTGACCTTTAAGAGACAGGATCATCAGGTCTGCAAACAGAAACTGAGATAAAGAACTACACTTGAAAAATGAGGTTGATTTGTTCACCATTCCTTTCCTAAAAATCCTTACGGTTTATTTGCCGTTTCTTACTGTCACCAAGAATTCAAGTAGTGGTTTTTGAGAAAGATCCACAATAGATTAAAGATCTCTTTCCTGAATAGTAATAACAGTTTTCAAATTTACTACTGTGTATGTGGACACATATATATTCTGTGTGGAAACACACACATAGCATATTGCAGCATAAAATGTTTCTTGACAGCCCCACAATGCTAAGATGAAAAAATATCCAGGAGAGAAAAAAAAAAAAAAAAAATCTGTCACACCAGAGCAAAATAATTATTGAATTATATTCATCTTCCCACCCCTATGTCCACTTCCCCAAAAGTTATTATTATTTACAAAGCAGACAGCCTGAAAAACAGGAGGACACACGTTTGCTATTTGGCCAGCATCCAAACTGAAGTCAAGCACAGGTATGTCCTCACCAGCTAACACACAGATCACCATCACACGCTCTTCCCAGCACACAACTCGTGTTGCAGGGGGTTGTCACACAGCCAGGACTCTGTCCCTGATCTCAGACTGCCCAAACAGAAGCAGCCCCTCAGCTCTGGGGCAGGAAGGTGCTGTGCCAGCTGATGAAGCCTGCAGGAATAATGCCCAACCTGATCCAGGCTAGCCCAAGCCCACTGGAAGTGGCCGTGTAGCACAAGAGATTTTGACCTTGAGGCAGCTCCAGGGCAGTGTGGGGAGCAGCTGGGCATGGGCTGTCACACAGACCTTCTGGGCAGCCCTGCAGGGAAATGTGTGGGTGTGCACATCCACACTCCACTGCCTGCAGGATTCTCTTCTGCCATCTTCACATGCACCTTTCATACATCCACCTGGACCAGGAAGAAAACCGCAGCGCACAGGAAAACAGGGATGAACACATCTAATAACAACCACTAGACAGATACACCACAGAGCAGGCATGAATACTGCATTTGTTAGAAAAGAAAAACATATCCTGTAGAAACACAGAACAGTTAAATTCTCTCAATCTCTAACTGCAAATAAATATAAATGTGCTCCTTCAGAAAAGTCTTTCTGTGCTGCATGTAAATTCATATTTTTCAGAAAATATTGAGAATATCTTTACCTGCCTCCGTGAAATCAAAGAGCATATTTTGAAGCACCAGAAGGTATTTTCTTGCCAGCTTTTCCATTTGTGTTTTCTGATTGTCTGTGTGTTTTTTCATTTGCACCCAACTGAGCACTGCTACATCACCAGCTCCTTTGTTCTGGCCTGCTCATCTGCTGCAATAACTGTTTTGTTTTCCAGTTGGTAATTCCATCTTCTAGCATATATCATCCTGTTTGGCTACTTTATTCAATTTTATCAAGTTGCCACTGCAAATTATTTGCACAAATGGAGAGTGGAGAGCTTTTTTGCCCTGCTCCAGAAAAGCATTTGGTCATGCTGGAGTACATGGTGGAAAAGAATGGCACAAGCACAGACCAGAACAACTGAACTCAAGTGTTCAAGGAGAACTAGCCAGTAGCAAAAGTGATATTCATTTTACAAGGCACAGGAAACCAAGATAGCTTATCTTAATTCTACTCATCTTGGAAAAATATTTCCTTAAGTTATTTTATGATCTGTATACATGCAGCATAAATCCTCCATTACCCACAGTTAATTTAAAAGAGAGGAAAGAATAGTAATAGAAGCACTTCATGTTGTTTCAAATAAGTGAAAAATTAAACTGCAACAGCAAATAAATAGAGTCTAGTCTTAACATCACAAAGATGCACAATCGTAACAGAATCTGTAGAATGGGCTATATGTAATCTTGTTGTCTTCAATTTCTGCTCATCAAACAAAGCACTCCTATTAAATAGCCTTTATATGCTCCCTAATTCAAAAAAATGCCAAGAACTTAATTTAATCCTCAAAGAAGATACTATCAGATCTGTGCCTGCTGCTGTAAACAGATAATAGAAAAGGCAGCTTTAATTCACAAACAGAAAATTTCAGGGTTTTTCCATAACATTAACTTCCTACACTTGCCTATATCTCTTTGGCACATCTTACCCATTTTCCAAGGAGCACAAAAATTCATACTCTAACACGGCTGAAAGTCTGACAGATAAAAAGTATCCTCGGCCAGTATTTTAACCTTAACTGCATGGCATCCTTGTTTGTAGGTGTTTAAATTACTTGACTTACTGAAATACTTCATTCGTTTAAGAAACCTGAATTGCTCCACATTAAAGAGTTTTGGAAAGCTAAACTGTCCCTATGAGCACCATGATTTATATTTATGCTTATTTTTCCCTATTGAAATAGCTTTGTCCAGAGCCTTGACCCACTTGTTGCCCATTAGAGTCAGCCTGATTTGTATCACAAACTGATGATATCCCTGTACTTACTTCAATGCTCTTTCAATCAGGGTAAGAAGGCAAGCAGAATGAGAGCAGCCTTTGTCTTCCAGGGGGCTTCATTTGTCAGAGATATCCTATCGACAACAGGCTGAGGTTTATTGCTCTATTGCTCACAGGAGACACCTGCCCAGAGGGTTACAACAGAAGGAAGTGCAGGAAAAAGGACAGCAGGACCTGGAGGAGCAGCAGGTAATAGAGACAGGCTGAATTATGGCTCCTGTGCAGGGAGGGATGAAGACTGCTCTGGTGATGCCCAAAGGACACAGGGGTCACACAGATTCCAGATGCTGTGCAATAAAACACCCTCACAACACAGCTCGAGAAAACACACAGCTACATTTTAACTAATTGTAGGTCTTTGGACACATGTACCAATCCGTCTCATATAAATATTTAGAAAATTTATTCACAAAATCATGCATTTTTAAATCCTGATGTTGTTAATCCTAGTCAGTGGTTTTTTTATCTTTGCAAGACGGCTTTCCAGTGGAAGGATGGGAGTCTGGGAATTCCACAGATGGCAGCACAGCAAGGTCCCCATCTCCTTTCTCCACCTCCTCTAAAAGGCTGAGCAGCCCTTGAGAGTCCAGGGACAGTTGACTAAAAATCAGTCACGCAAGATTTTTTCCTTAATTCACAGAAATGGTATGGAAGTGACAGCAACAATTACCAGATGAATGCACTGTTAAGTAATCTACAGTGAACAGGAGTGAAATCATGGAATAAATTAGAATGATATTACAAGAAACTTTTAAAACCAGATTAAATTAGTTTGGCTTGAAAAATCTCATTTCATTATCTGAAAGTTTTTAATATCTGAAATAAGTATAATATCATGCATAATATTTAAAATATATTCTCATCATTTTTATGATTACATATAATGAACAACATTTGATAATGCTTACATATTGAAAACTTTAAATTACTATTTTAAGATATATATATAAAATTGGGGATGTTAGGCTTTTCCCCCCAAGAAAATCCATTATCCTTCTGTTACTGGGCATACTTAAAGATCAAAAAAACTGAAATGAGGAATCACTCTTCTTGATTCTCAGTCATTCCAACTGCAAGACTCCACTGCCTCCTGAAGAGCAGAAATAATCTTATGATCAAATCCATAAATATATACCTGTGCAAATAAAAATTTACAGCAACGTTTCCTGGAATTTGTAGCTTTAGGTGTGCAATTAGATCCACTACAAAAAGCAGGTGATATTCAGGCAGGAGGTCATGTGCATGTTTTTAAAATGAGATTTTTGCACACAATGCCTTAAAGCAGCAGTCTAAGGGACAGGTGCACTAAAAGCCTCTGGAGAATTCCCAGCTCACTGCAGCTCCCAAACGCCCCCAGAGGGGACAGCAGCAGCTGTCCCAGAGCCCCACGTGCCAGTCCAGGGTTAGACTGCTAACAGTGCAGAGCTGGCACAAGCACAGCCCCACTTCTGCGCTCTCCAGAGTGATGGCACACTTCAGCCCACCTCTTTTCCAACCAAAAATGCAAGTCTTAGCTGTGATAACAGGCACTAATTTGAGCAGATCTGGGGAAAGGGCACATGCTATTGTTCTCAGCCTTTAAAATGCCCAGCAGAAAAATGTTTTAAGTTGCACTTGGGTGGGAGATGTGAATCTCTGGCTGTTGTAGGCAGCTGGTCGGAGGAGATGGCCAATGAGACATTGTTGATATTATTACAAGATTATCATAGCATGGCTTTCCAGACTTCACAAGAGTAATCTTGAACTCCATAATATCTATATATGTCAAAATAAGCTATGTTAAATTTACCACCATGTCAATATGGCATGTGTCACTGATCACTTAGGAAAATAATAATATAAAAAGAATGATAATAATATTTCACCCTCTAAATATCTGACATCTTCATTTCACTAGCTAGAAATTACAATAATAAATATAAAGTTGCAGATTTTTAAGGCCAGTAGATTTCATTATAACCATTAAGTCTGAAGTTGTGCCATATTGCTACGAAATTTTATCAAACGACCCTCACATCAAGTCTAGAGCTTCAACTCACCACATGCTCAGCTTCAGTGATCCAACATTTTATCACCATAACTGTTTCAGAATGTGTTGATTCATTCCAGCTTCAGTTTTTCCCAATTTCAGTTTCTCTATTTTGTAAAAGCTTTTTCTACATGAGTATGGAGCAATTTACTACCAGAAATATTGTCTCAAAGTCATTACATAAAGAATGTCAAACTTCCTTTTTCTGAACCAGGCAAACCTTTTTTAATTTCTTAGAGCACCAGACACAGATGTCAGATCAGCCTTGCAGTTCTCAGCACAGTGACTTTCTCATATCCTCCATAAAACCCACACAACTGAGAAAAGCTGTATTTTAAGACTGCTTACTGTAACAGTGGTACTACTGCTATTAATCAATATTCTGCACTCATATCTGCCACAAATCCTTAAAAGCTTGTGTTCAGAAGCCACAGAATATAATGACTCATATTGTTTACTAAGTCAAAATACACCTCTGTGTTATGTGAGTATGATACATACGTTGCATTCTTAGAAATATGAGTCCACAGCACTTAATATAACTACAAGACAGAAATGCTCTTTGCAATAACACTAAATAATTAAATATCAGCTCAAATTATACATCTTTAGTTAGCACATTTGTAGACATTTTCCATGTCTACATGGAAAACCAATTTATGTCTACAATTTACCTGGAAGTTGACTTGGTTACTTCTTAAGATTGCTCCTCCTCCTCTTTACAGAGATATTAAAAATTATTCATGTTCATAGAAAGTACAGTAGGTTGATACCCTCAGATAACAAAAAGCCCAAGCAAGATGTTAGATTTTCAATAATTCAGATACCTGCCTGAACCTAAGTCACCATTTTCCCAGTCTGTGCCTCCATTTATGCATATCCAGCCTTCAAATACTGATTTCCTTCACCTTACAGTAACAGCAGCAGCCATCAGTTAGAGGGGAGCCATGTAAGAGAGAAATGCCAAGCTCAGTTTGCCCATAGTTCAGAAGGGACACGAATAGAAATTCTAATCCACTGGATGATCAAAGACCTCCAAAACCTCAGAGGTGAGGTTACATGTTCCTTGAATCACTGCTCAGCAGGTCTGCTGCACTAATTAGGATACAACACTGGAAAAGGTCAACTTCATAAAACACCCAGAGAATTAATACACAGTGACCTTGCCATTTCCTCTGATGTGATTACATGCACGCTGCCAGAGGAAGACTTCTGGGTTGCATTTTATTCATACCTACTTTTATCAAACAGCTCTTGTAAAAAAAGTTTTAATCTCAAGATGCATCTGCTCAGACAAAAAATTTCAAAATGGACTAGAGTTATGGATAACGGGGGTTATATTTTTTTTATTAACAGTCTTCTGGTTTGGTTTTCTGTCCCCATTCAAATGCTTCATAGTGACAAACTGGTTAAGAGAATTTAAAAAAATAAGTTTTACAAATAGCATTTTAGTCTTTGAGGCCACACTTTAATGGATAGCATTACTTCCTTCCAAACAGCAGTCTGCTAGGTGATAAATCCTGCAGAACTCTTGAACAGACCTTATGGAGAGTATAACTACACCTCTCTTAGGCAGTGTATCTTAGTGATGCTGGGTGTGGTTTTTTGTGGGAGTTAATTGCCTTTTTAGCTAACAAAGAGAAGCCCAAAAGAAAAGCTCTTTCAACCTTCAATTAATCTTAGTTAACTAGAAAAGGAAAAATCTATTTCCTGAGGTTGACTGTTTTGTTCTGAATTTTGTTATGCATTATTCTTCCCTTCAGCTATGACTCAGATTGTTTTTCAACAGTCATCTTCCTATTTTTCATCCTCATTTCTAATAACTCTCAATAGTCTTTTGCATTATCTAACTATTTTCCTCTATATTGGAGATATTCGTGGTTCAGCACCTCCATAGAATTTACTTTATGTACTTCATTTTCTGTGCTACTAACAAAGATATTAAACATTAGAATACATATAGCATTATTCCCCAACCTTTTTCAGAGGCTTTTTCAAAAGGTCCAGCCTCATCCATTTAAGATTATTCTTCGTTTACACTTGCCCTGCCAACTCTTATATCATATGGCAGTATCTCCACCACAGTAAATTGGAATCAATATTTTCAAGTAAGATTTCATGAAGCAGATTATCATGAAGTATTATTAATGCTCTACTTAAGTCCAAATCCATTACATTTCTTGAGTTCCTATCACTCACCAGATTCGTAAATCTATCAGAAAGGTAATCAAGTTTGATATGCCTTTCATACTTTTAACTTTCCCATTTTCTAGCTAAAACACATTCATTAACATTGTACTTGCAAAATACACAATCACCACATGTGCAAAGCTGAAAAAAATAGTTTTGTGGGTTTAGAGGTGGAGAAAACTTTACCATGTGAGCAGAGGCTGAATTTATTTAAATCTTATCTCCTGTGTAAGAAAACTGACCTCTCATTATGATTCAGCACAAACACAAATAAATGTAGGGCAATTAAGTTGCCTTTGATACAAATTGTGCAATTATATATAGCTCCAAAATCCAAATCAGAGTTGTATGCAATCAGCATCAATACCCACTTGGCTCTGCATCCTGTTAATTCTAGACAACAAACACATCCTTAAATCAACAAACACACAGAATTTAGGGGGTTTTCCTTCCAAAGCCAGGCATGATGGCTGTCTCTGAGGTCAAGCTGTGAAAACTGTGGAAGCGAGACAAATTATGGATGGCTGCTCTCATCTGCTCCCTTCCCTCATTCTTGGCTCTGAAATGCATGATACAATGGCTAGGGAATCCCCCTCACTCAGCTTGCACATGGAGGCTCCTGCAGCCATTCAAATATAGAAGTATATACAATTACTGTTCAACATGTATTTTGCTGTACAAACAACAGGCAACAGCAACTGAGCAGAGGCACATGCTGGCTGCTGCTATGCAGGACTTCCATCAATATATCCCCCACATTCCTTCTCAATCCCACCAGTAGGGACCACCTTATTTTAAAAAATTAAAGAGTAGCTGCATAAAGAACACAAGCCAGAGATAATTGTTTCCTGACAGCAACCAGCTTTCTATAGAAGAAAACCAAACTGGGCTCCAAGTGAAATGGATCTCTAGATAGTTAGATTACAAGGTACACATTATTGGCTCTTTGTGCCAATAAAAATAAAAAAGCAACATTTTATATGAGAATACAGTAGCCCTTGTCCAAAGCATCTGGGATCTCTGTCTCATTCTGCCCTAGCTGCTTTCTTTTTGATCTTTATATTCAGATGCCCTTGGCGAGAGAATCATCTCAGATCTATCAGTGGGACATCATTCCCTTGTGAGAAGTTCATGCTCAAAGAAATGCAAAGCACTTTGTGATGTGTCAGCTCCACCCTGCAGCACAGACAGATTTGCACAAGAGTAAAAAGAATGTTCTCACTGGCCTTTAAAACAGGTTACTCCTAAACCACAGACAACAAGCCTTGCCCAACCACAACACAACCAGACCAAGACAATGACTCGCTACAGGATTTTCTTTCACCTTTACTGCTGTAAATCCTTTGGAAATTTCCCCAGCCATGCTGCTTGGTGGGAGTCACTTGTCCTCTCTGAAGAGCCACTACTACACTGCCACAGAGAGAGGTGAGCCACTCCTTGGGGCACCCTGGGCTGTGTGGCTGGGCCAGAGCCTCCTGCAAGTGCCACCAACTCCACCTATTGAGGCCTCCTAAGCAGCTCACTCCACTCACTGCAGCAGACATTCCTGCACTCAGATCCTGTCCCACTTGAGCAGAGGGACCAGGATCCAAGGCAGGATGTTTGGCTTCATTCATCCTCACCAGCAGCAGGCTAAACTTTACATCACCACCAGCCTTTTTCTCTGACAGCTCCGACACAGCACGTGAACTCTGCAGTGCTCATGCACTGGGAGACGGCATCAGATTCCTGGCACTCAGAAGGGCCTTTCATTGGCTACTTCAACTTAATCTTTTCAAACACTCAGATCT